AACAACAATTAAAAATAACAAAGTAGCATGCTACACATACGTGTACATGTTGCATTCCCTCTTGACTGTCAGTCTCAAGTGCATCAACAGGCAGAAGGCACAGCTCTCCATTACAGACCAGACTTGAATATTCCAATTAAAACCACTTGGTACCTTGCAGATTTCTGAATATTGGTTATTTGGAGATTTGGGTTTCTGCAAATTGGTTTTCTGTGAGTTGGTCATAAAATGAGTTGACTAAGAGCTATATATCCAGAATATCATTTAATTTTTCTAATAAAGTTATGCTTTCTGTACTAGTATCACCCTTTTATGAATAAAAGCAATGGGTGCTTGCATGGGTGGGCTGAGTGAGCCCAGGGCTCTTACTGTAAATCTGACTCTAGAACTGAAACTCCAGCTCCCCACTGATGAGGGATGTCCTTCTGTATATATGTTTCCCCTATTGGCTGATGAATAAAACACAGTTTGGCCAATAGAGGCAGGAAGATAGGCGGGGCTAGGGGATGAGGAGAATACTGGGGAGAGAGGAGAGGTGCTGTGAGGAGACGCCACGTAGAGACTGGGAGGATAGGATGCAGGAGGCGTTCTCTGGTAAGAAAAGGCCATGTAGAAATACATAGATTAGTAGTTATGAGTTAATAATTAAGACATAGCTATCCAATAAGAAGCCCTAGCCATGAGCGAACCGTTTAATAATTAATTAGTGTCTCTGTGAGTTCATTTGGGGCTGAAGGGCAGAGGAACCTGACGGGAAAACTCCAATTACACCCCACTGATTGCATTTTGGATGACGGTTCCATCTAGCTTTCTGCGTGAGGTCAGGCATCTCTTCCTCCACAAAGTCTTCCCTGACCTGCAGGAGGACTACACAAATGATCCTCTCTCTGTGTCCCAGAATTCTCAGTCTCAGCATTGGCACTGCTTTGAAAACTACGGACCACTACTGGGGAGGTCTGCCTTGCCAATGTACTGGGACTTCCCGAGGGACAAGGCCATTACCCCTGCATGGTGGTGGCCCCGGCCCAAGCAAGCACTCCTCCAAGGGGTGCCTGAGGCAGAGGAACTCAGATCATACCCAGCCTCGTGGACCCAAAGAAGTGTAGCTCTTCATTTTGCACTCTTAACCTGGGTGAGGGATAGCTAGCCTGGCCAGGCACACCCAGACAGCTGTTACATCAGTGCATGAGGCTTCCTTGGATGAGGGTGAGGGCGGTTTGGACTGTGGCCATATTTGCGGTCACTCCTGGATGGGAAAGAAGGAAGCGGCTCAAGGAAAGAGGCTTCTTAGTCTCTTCCACCCTCAGTCCTGCTTTCTCCACAGTCTGCAGTGCTTTTGTTCCCTCCATCCCTCCTCCTGCAAAGAAGGAATTTCTGGAAGGTTCTGTTAAAACAAATTATTAGGATTAGCATAGTAGGCAGCACAGAGCTGCAAGGCTTCAGACCCCTTGCCTGTCTCCCTGCTGTGGTGTGACTTGGGACTTCTCTAGGGACTTGGCTCAAAGCTTCTTATAGCTTTCCTAAGAGGTTATAAGGAAAACGGGGTGGGTTGGTGGTGTGAAGGGCCTGGATGGTTGTGGTGGCATACTCCTGTAATCCCAACTCCTAAATCGGGGGCAGGAGTATATCTGTGAATTCTATACTAGGCTATCTCAGAAAACAAGCCAAATAAAAATGAAAGACAAGCTGGGGAGATGGTCAGCAGATGAAGGTGCCTGTTGCCAAGTCTGAAACCTGAGTCTGACCCCTAGCACCCACATGGCCAAAAGACAGAAGTTGTTTCTGACTTGCACACATGAGGCGTGCAGTCCCTCACACAAATGCAAATACATAAATAATTGCAATTTTAAAATAAAAGATATATAAATAAAAGAATGAATGAAAGGAAGAAAGAAAATGAGGAGGGGCAAAACAAAACTCAATTGACTATAAATTCTTAAAATGTACCCTATACATCTGCTTGGTTTTTGAGGTAGGGTCTCCCTCTTTTGTCCAGGTTGGCTTGGAATGTGCAGCCCTTCTCCCTCAGCTTCCCAGAGCAGAATTACAAGCTTACACCTTCTCATGGTTTATAATTCATAAATATTTGGACATCAGTATCTAATTTATTGACATTTAAATAGAGAAGCATCAGCTAAAAGTTGTCCTAAACACATGAAGAGATGAGGGCATATGAAGTGGTAAGTTACAGGGAATCCAGGAAGCTGGCTGCCAATCCACAGATATTTAATGGTTGGGATGTCACTCAATGGAGCACTTGCTAGTATGCATGAGACCACAGGCTTGATCTTCAGCATGAGTGTGTGCTTGCAAGACCCATGAAAAGGAGTCCATTCCATCTTGCCACAAGTTCAGAGAGCTCAAATCTGTCTTATTGTCCATAAGACATTAGTTTGGCGACTACAGGATGTTCTGGCCTTGGCGGTGGATGTTTCTTTTCTAAATAATAATAGACATGGGCCCAGGTGTGTTTACTCTGACCCTGAAGACCGGATGGCAGGTGTGGCTACCAAATACCTAGAGAATTAAGGGAAGTAAATCTCTTTGCCCCTTATACGTGATAATAGAAGGCTTCTGCCATTTTGTCCCCAAGGCTGGTTGAAGACATAAGATGGTATAAGAATAAACTAAGGGCTCATTCAGTATGGACTGAATCTACCCTCCCGACAGCCATCTTGTGTCCCTGTTTTTAACACCTTTAGCTAGCCTGCTCGGATGGCTCTGATCGCAAACACAGCTACCAACAGTTGATGAATAAACCACTGATTGGCCAGTAGCCAGGCAGGCAGTGTAGGCGGGACTACCAGATAAGGAGAATTCTGAGGAGAGAATGCAGAGAGAGATGAAGGAGAGACACCATGTAGTCCCTGAAGGAATAGCATGCTAGAGCCTTCTCCAGTTAAGGCCATATAGAAATACATAAATTAATAGTTATGGGTTAATAATTAAGAGAGAGAGAGCTAGCCAATAAGAAGCCTGAGCCATCTGCCAAACAGTTTCTAATTAATGTAAGTCTCTGTGTATTTATCTGGGACCAAACAGCTGCTGGCCCTATCAGAACAGAAACTCTGTCTACAATATGTCACAATACAGACAAGGGAACTTATCACCAACACCATATCCAACAATGTCTGAGAAGGCTTCTGGGATAAACTTCTGTGATAAAAACAAACCAAAAGCAAAGGGTCAGAAAGAAGGAGATAAAATGCTCAGGACTTCAAATAAAAAAAGGTGATAAATAATACAGAAGCCACTGTTATAAATGGGATTCAGTCATGTCCCTAAGCATCACATTCAAGAAAATCTGGGTTGCATTTAACATACTAAAGCACAAAGGAGAAATTCAACAGTATCAGATCATATAAAATACCTTGAAATAATCTAGATAATACGTACCTGTGATCCCTGCTCGGAAAATGATAAAACTGTATTAAGAGAGATGCAGAGAGACATCCATCGTCTGCTCGTGGATAGTGTGAAGACTGAGTTTAGATTCAAAGCCACTGTACCTAAAGTCACAAGAAGGATTTTAAGGGGCTTGAAGAGGTGATTCTAAGTTTTATTTGGAGCCAGGAGTCACTAGGATACTTTTGAAGGAAGGCAAGAGAGAGCAATCTGGCCTACTGTATGTTAGGACTATGAGTAAAGTCTCAGGAGTGAGACAGTTGCTAGTGAAACACACCCAGGGCTGGCACGACAGCTCATAGGGGAAAGGCACCTGTCGCCAAGCACAGTGACCTGGGTTCTAGCCTCAGTAGTCACATGGTGGAAGAACAGAACCAACTCCCAAGGGTAGCTTTCCTGTTTTGTTTTGTTTTTCTATATCTTGGGGGCACGGCCTCAAAATCACCTATAAAAGATGCTTGGCATCACTGTGGAAATGCTAGCAATAATCATGTGATACTTGTTAACTCACCATTGTGCAGCATAAACTAAGCCTGACTATACCGAGTGTTGTGTCGCAGAGGATTCTTACAGCCCCGCCAATTCTCATAGTATTCTGACTTACTGTTTATAATTGGGACAGCCACTTCAAAAGTCAGTTTTAGGGCAGGTGAGATGGCTATGGGGATAAAAACACTTGCTACCGAAGCCTGATGACCCAGCCTTGATCCTGAAACACATGCAAGAGTGGAATGGAAAGAGAGAATCATTTTCTAAGCGGTGTCCTCTGACTTTGACACAAGCTCCAAGGCATGCATATAGCCATATTCACACAGACAAACAGACAGACAGACAGACAGACACACACACACACACACACACACACACAAGGTAATAATAAATAAAACTTAAAAACCGATCTGGAAGTTTCATCCCTACTGGCTAGATTTCACAGTGCTGGAAGATGCTATGCATGCTACTGGAGGAGAAAAGCAGCCAGATGATGTCTTAGCTGTGAACCCTACACGATGCAATATTGTCTGCCCTGGAAGACAGGCCTGCTAGAGCAATAGTGGTACAAACAGCATGGGAGCAACCAACAACTTTCCTCTTAGGTTGGATTTAAAGCCTACTCACTCCAGAAGGTGAAACCCATACCCAGCACCATTACTTGGCCAAGAACCTATGACTAGGCTGGTCATGGGCCCTAGAGGAGAATCTGCTACTATTATTTTGTTGAATGGACATAATATCAAACCAACTCCTAGTAGCTTAAATTATACCCATATGTTGGAACACAGTTCAAGAATGGAGTCATGTGAGGAGTATTCCGAGTGTTTGTGAGAAAACTATTACGGTTAATTCATAAAGCCTTATATATTGTTTCAGATTCTGCTTATGTTGTAGGATTTTTTCCAGCAAGAGAAATTGGTTTGATTTTGTCTTCACATTCTGTTATGCTTCCATTACTAGGGGAACTGCAACATCTGGTTAAAAAAAAACCTGCACACATTCTTTGTTTATTACCTATACGCATGCACACTCTGACCTTATTTTATTGCAGAAGGAAATAAGGCAAGATGACGCATTAACCCAGTCTATTTTTACTTTTCCAGAAGTCATTGCAGATGGATCCACTGAAACACCATGGATTCTTAGGCTCCTCTGACCCCAGATCACATCACCAGAAGTCAAGTCTACCCACCTGGGACCAAATTCAGGCCCTGTGCACCAAGGGAGAAGATATTCTGCTAATGACTCTGTGTTTATGAATGGACCTTGGGACTGCAATAGACTCATTCATCAGTCTGGAGAAGGGACTGCATTTAGTTTTTCCTTGGGATTTAAATCACTTCCTATTTGTACAGGACATCATAACATTTGTACTCCTATTAAAGCCAAATATAGGCTTATGTTCTATAAGAGACCAGAACTACTAATCATATGGGTTCTCTAGATTTTTCTACTCAATATAATAATGTAAACAATAGTACCAAACATAGTTTGGGTCTTGGTGGCAGAGTATTACACACAATACTTTCATTGTTCTATTATTCATTGTGTTTCTAATTTTCTTGCTTATAGGATACTCAGGCCTCAAATGACAATTAGATTTCTCTACAACATCTTAAGTCAAAGCCACTCTGAATATCCTGTTATTAAGAAATAAATAAGGAGGAGATGTTGGAACACTGTCCGAGAATAGTCACGTAAGGAGATTTCTGAGAAAACTCCAATAAAATAAGAATTTTGTGACCTTAGTTTCTTCAAAACATGGCATTGTTCTTAGGCTATGTTTTCCTGCCTGTCTCAGGTGTAGTGGGTTTACTTCAGATTATTCACGCAGCTGGCTATTGTTATTTGTTTATATGCCTCTATGGAAAACATGTGTCTGTCATGTGCAGCTTGCTACCATGTGTGGCTTGCTCTTGTGATTGCACACTTTACTCACGTGACTTCTCGTAGCCCTCAGAAAATGAACTGTGTGATGCTCCAAATAAAGCTTATTATTGCATGAGACTTTAGCCAACCTCATTTATTGGCTCCAGTTTTTTAGGTCCCACTGCCTCGAGAGCAGTAACACCCATAGGTTAGCGTAATCCTCAACCCTCATCAGAGAAGCTTGTCTTTGCAGATGATGGTGGGTAACACACAGACCTACAACAAGGTGCAGAGAACAAGAGGACGCAGAGTGCTCACTCATAAAAGGAACACCTCCTCCTCCTCCTCTCAAGGCTCACAGCTCACTCCTGAAGGGGCTGAAAGTGTGTAAGAGTCAGGGGTGGTGGATGACCACAACGAGAACAGCATCTCCTGGACACAGCCTGGCAGCGACACATGTGGATTCACTGCAGATGAAGTGACGATAAGTGTAAGAGTTATGCAAGCCCAAGGCAGACCACATTCCAGCATGGAGAGAGGACTTGGGTGCAGAATCCCATCCCTAGCCAAGGAGCTGTTGGAAACTACTGGAGGATGGGAGAGGGGAGTCAGTTTTCTCTAAGAATATGTCCCCTGATAGTCTTTCATGCCGTTGGAAGGCCACACTGCCCAAGACTATTTGGGGAGCACAAATTAGCCTTGAAGGATTAGAAAATAAGACACAAAGTTGGGTGAGTAGAGAAGAGAGGCAGATCCAAGAAGAGTTCTGGCTGTTGTAGGGGGCCAGTGAGTAGGTAGGCTTAGTAGGTAAAGGGCATGCCGCCAAGCCCGATGACCTGAGTTCAGCCCCTGGGACTCACATGATGGAAGGAGCAAACTGACTTTCACTGGTTGTCCTTTGGCCTCTAAATGTATGCCATGGCAAGCTGTGTGCATCCATGTGCACATGCACAAGCTAAATAAGTAATCGTAAAAAGAAAAAAAAAAGAATAAGATCACACGGGGAAGCACAGCCATTGGGATTCAGGTTAGCGATGGTTTGGAAGGAGGAGGCAGAAAGGATAGGCCATGGATACACATGCAGAGTTGGGTGTTGGTTATAATCTTGTGAACAGGAGCCAGGTAGCTTCATGGGTATTTTCTGCATTATTTAAAAGCAACGAAGTAAAGTAGGTCATACTTGGATCAATGATGTGCTTCACTGAATCCAAGAGTGTGATTACTGTAATTCTATGCACTGGTGGCCAAATTAAAACTAAAGTGAAGGCTAGATATCAACTGGAATGTGGTTAACTAGGGAAGCCTCACAAAGCTTGCCTTAGAACAGATACTGAACAATCGGTTCAAAGAGACAGGCAAAGTGTTTAGAGCCCCCTACCAACAAAATTATAAAAGTGATCTCCACAGCAGCTTCGAGGAACAAATGTCACAGGCCTACCTGCGAGCCTTCTTTTCTTTTTATGAAAATTCTCTTCCATCTTAAAACCTTTCTCCACTGCCTCAAGGGAAACCAGCCACTAGTGCTGAGACCTGAGAACTGCGTTACTCTCCCACTGGCCAGAAGACATATCTTGTGGTATTTTATCCTACACCACATTAAATGTGAAATGAGGCCTTGCCTGGCAGTTTGCCTAAGAGAAGGATCCATTTACAACTTCTGTAACCTGTTCTCACAGCACCCCAGAACCCCGCGAAGTGCATCAGAACACTGCTGGTAATCAGGGTTTGCCTGTCTGTTAAAGGTGTCCAGGACATGCTAGTGTGAGCTGGTCCTTACAGCTTGACTTCTTCAAGGAAAATAACAATCACAAATTATCTCCAGTGTGAAGTTTGTGTTCTGCTATTCTAACACACAGTAGGTACATCAGTGTTTATTGAAAGATTGGCACAGTTTTCCAAATAATAATTATGAAGATCCTGGGTTTAAATAGAAAACGCTTGTTGAGTACCAGGGAGATGACTCACTTGGTAAAATGCTTGCTTTGTAAATAAAAGGATGCGTTTGATCCCAGAACCCATGTGAAAAGAAAAAAAAACTGGCACGGTGGCACCACTTATTACCTCACCACTGGGTGGGGCACAGCGAGAGGGGACAGGCAGATCCCTGGGTATTGCTAGTCAGATATCCAGGTCTAATCAGTGAACAATATCTATGAAGTGACTTTTGAAGTCCACCTCTGGCCTAAACACACACACACACACACACACACACAGAGAGAGAGAGAGAGAGAGAGAGAGAGAGAGAGAGAGAGAGAGAGAGAGAGAGAGAGAGAGAGAAACAGAGATTTGATGACAAAGACAACCCACTTACATAAACAACCCTCTGGGCTAGAGATGGTTCTGTGGTTTGTTTGTTTGTTTGTGTTTGTTTGTTTGTTTGAGACAGGGTTTCTCTGTATTGTCTTGGAGGCTGTCCTGGAACTCACTTTGTAGACCAGGCTGGCCTCGAACTCACAGAGATCTGCCTGCCTCTGCCTCCCCAGTGCCGGGATTAAAGGCGTGCGCCACCAACGCCCAGCTTGTTTCTGTGGTTCTTGCAAAGGATTTGAGTTTGGGTTCCCAGTACCCACTTCAAGGGGCTCACACCCTCCTGTAACTCCAGTTTCGAGGATCTGATGACCTCTCTGGCCTCCTTAGGCACCTACATTCACATGCATTTCTCCTGACATAGACACACACACACACAAAATGAAATAAAAAAATGAATCTTATGTGCACATGTGTGTGTTAAAAGACAAAGGCCACATCAGAAACCATGGTGGGGGTGGGGTGGGCATGTGAAAGAGATAATTAAGTCTTTGGAGTAAGGTTAGCCATCAAACTGAAAGCAGCAAGGCCCTTTCTCACAAGGTTAGCAGTCAGGAGAAGGTGTTCCTGAGAAATACCTATTTAGAAAAAAAGAAAAGGCCTCTGTACCTATCCACTGAGGGTGTTTTACCAAAAAGCAGGAAAACCCTATATACTTTTTAGAAGCTCATACTCACATTTTTCCAATCGAAGATACTTACATTAAAAAAAAATTCTGGGATCTCTTGCCCTTCAGGGTATGAGCTCTTTAGTTAACCCCACCTTAACCCCACCTGCTATGATGCCTTTTGCTTTTTTTTTTTTCCATTTTAAGTGTGTATGTGTTCATTTCCCCCACCCAGTTTAATGGTCTTGTTGGTGTACAGGCCTCCAGGTATTCAGTAACTTCACGAGTGTGTGTTGCAAGCACAGGTGGCAGCAACCCTCCAGTGTGCTCAAGCTGCTGGCTTGACTCGAGTTCCCACTGGCACCAGAACTGGTTTCTCTGCCCCGTGGCTGCCTGGGATGGAGAGCCATGGGGTACGCTGAAGGTGCCTCGGTTTTCCGCTGCAACCTGACATTTCTACCCATGCTGACTCCAGAGCTGTCGCCAACCCTTGCCCCACTGATTTCCCTTCCCTCCAACCCAGTGAACAGGGAGTTGAGTAAAAATGAGTAGGGCGTCCACCAACCCACGCTCTAGAGGGCTAGGATTGGCACTCGGCACTTGGGTGTTGTGGTTCCTTTACACTGGCCTTTGTATGTATCTGCTCTAAATATAAGCAGCGTACATATCTCTATAGATGGGTAAGCAAGGGACCATTGGGAGTTCACAATGAATAAAGTATGCTGGGCAGCTGTTTTTCCTCCACTAAATTATCTCTCTGTCATCAGTCTGTGTCTGTCTGAAGCATTGAACATGCCACAGCCCCCTTTTTACCTTTCATTTTGAGACAGGGTCTCACCAAGTTACCCAAGTTGACCTTAAACTCAATCTGTATCTTAGTTGCTTTTTTTTTATCATTTTTTATTTTAATTTTAAATAGCTTGTTTTACATGCCAATCCCAGTTCCCTCTCCCTCCCCTCTTCCCGCACTACCCTTCCCCCCTCCCTCCCACCCTATTGCCAAATCCTTCCACATAGGGGATATCTAGAGTCTGTCATTTTACTCTTGGTAGGGTCAAGGCACTCCCCTAAGAGTCCAGGCTGAGAGAGCATCTCTCTTTGTGCTATAGGCACATGAAGACAGTTTGTATACCAGGGATAGACACTGATCCACAGCTCAGGGCCCCATAGGTTGCCCAGGCCTTTTCACTGACACTCACATTTGGGGGGGTCCAGATCAGTCCCATGCTGGCCTCCCCACTGTCGGTCTGGGGTCCAAGAGCACTCCCCTGTTCAGATCAGCTGTCTCTGCTGGTTTTGCCAGCCCATTCTTTGCCAATTTGCTCATCACTCCTCTCTCTCTGTCACTGGGTTCCTTGGGTTCAGTTCAGTGATTAGTTGTGTGTTTGCCTCTGCTTCCATCAGTCACAGGATGAAGGCTCCCGGATGGTTATAGACATCAAGTTCATTATCAGGAACGGGCATTCGAGGTGGTCCCTCCACTAAAAACAGCATCAAATATCTGGGGATAATGTTAACCAAGGAAGTGAAAGACCTGTATATCAAGAACTTTGTGTCTTTGAAGAAAGAAATCAAAGAAGATACCAGAAAATGGAAAGATCTCCCATGCTCTTGTATTGGTAGGATCAACATAATAAAAATGGCAATCTTGCCAAAAGCAGTCTATAAATTCAATGCAATCCCTATCAAAATTCCATCACAATTTTTCAAGGACCTGGAAAGAACATTAATCAACTTTATATGGAAAAACAAAAGGCCCAGGATAGCCAAAACATCCCTATACAATAAAGGAACTTCAGGACGCACCACCATACCTGACTTCAAGCTCTATTATAGAGCTATAGTCCTGAAAACAGCTTGGTATTGGCACAAAAATAGGCAGGTAGACCAATGGAACCGAATCGAAAGCCCTAATTTTAACCCACACACCTATGAACACCTGATTTTTGACAAAGAAGCTAAAACTGTACAGTGGAAAAAAGAAAGCATCTTCAACAAATGGTGCTGGCATAACTGGGTACTGGTCTGCAGAAGACTGCAGATAGATCCATGTTTATCGCCTTGTACAAAACTTAAGTCCAAATGGATCAAAGATCTCAACATACATCCAGCCACACTGAAACTTTTAGAAGAGAAAGTGGGAGATACTCTTCAACGAGTTGGTACAGGAGACCACTTCCTAAACATAACACCAGTGGCACAGGCACTGAGATTGACAATTAACAAATGGGACCTTCTGAAACTAAAAAGCTTCTGTAAGGCAAAGGACACAGTCAAAAAGACAAAAAGGCAGGCCACAGAATGGGAAAAGATATTCACTAACCCTACATCTGACAGAGGGCTAATCTCCAAAATTTACAAAGAACTCAAGAAACAAGTCTCCAAAACACCAAAGGATCCACTTGAAAGGTGGGGTACAGAGCTAAATAGAGAATTCTCAGTAGAGGAGGCTAAAATGGCCAAGAGACACTTAAGAAAGTGCTCAACATCCTTAGCCATCAGGGAAATGCAAATCAAAACAACTCTGAGATACCATTTTACTCCTGTCAGAATGGCTAGAATCAAAAACACCGAAGACAAGACAATTTATGCTGGAGAGGATGTGGAGAGAGAGGAACACTCCTCCACTGCTGGTGGGAGTGCCGACTCATACAGCCTCTTTGGAAATCAGTATGGAGATTCCGCAGGAAAATGGGAATTAATCTACCACTAGACCCAGCAATTCCACTCTTAGGCATTTATCCAAATGAGGCAGGTTCATACAACAAGGGCATCTGCTCCACTATGTTCATAGCAGCATTGTTTGTAATAGCCAGAACCTGGAAGCAACCTAGATGCCCCTCAACTGAAGAGTGGATAGAGAAAATGTGGTACATTTACACAATGGAGTATTACTCAGCAGAAAAAAACAATGGAATCTTGAAATTCGCAGGGAAATGGATAGCACTGGAAGAAACCATCCTGAGTGAGGTAACCCAGTCGCAAAAAGACAAACATGGTATGTACTCACTCATATATGGATTTTAGATATGGATCAGGATAGTGCCAGGCTGCACTTCCACAGATAGAGAGTCTGGGAAACAGGAAAGAACCTAAAAGATATGCATATATGCATAGTACCCAAGAGAAGAGGATGGAGACAAGATCCTTAGTTGCTTTTTATTTTTCCTTAGTAGCTGGGATTACAGGTCTGTGCTACCACACCTGGATAACTGTATTTCTTCTTTTAAAAACAGACAAAAATTTTAAGTTTAGTGCGGTGGTCCATGCCTGTAACCTTAGCACTCAGGAGGCTGGTGTAGGAGGATTTTTTATTTGAAACTAGTTTGGGCTGCATTTTGAGACTTTGTCTCAAAAACAAAATAAATACAAACAAAACTTACTGGTCAAATTTATATGCAGTAAGGTGCACACAGTCAGGTGTGGCTTATGGTTTTGGGTATGTGTGTCGTAGAACCATTGCTGCTAAGATCACAGACATTTCTACCTATTCTTGGTTTCTTTGCGGAGGTGGCTGATTTTTTTTTCTTCAGCATGAAAGTCTTGTTTCTGAGGTATGTGACTTCACCTAGAAGCCCAGGTTTTAACATGGGGTTGCAGACAACATTAAGAAATCCGTAGCACTTCCCCTAAATACATTTCTCCCTCAAGGGGGAACATGCTCTCTGGTTGCTGCGGAGACTCAGGACTTCTGGTCTGAGTCAGGCTTGTCCCGGGGCACACTGGAGCACTGATAAGAGGCAGGGAGTCTGCCCTCCGTTTGTTCATAATGAGTCATTCTGCTAGTCAGGAATCTCACCCCCCTTTCCCGTGTCATGCTTAGGCAAGAACTAAGGCAGATACGCCCTATTCAAAGTGTCGCCATCCTTAGGACCCAGTAAACCCAGCGCAGTGTAAGACGCGCGACTCAATGGGGACCCCTACCGGTGAGACCCGGGAGGACTGCGTGGGCGTGGAGGTCTGCTTGGAGGGCCTCAACGGCAGCGTCTGTTCCCACCCACCTTCTCCTCGGAGAGCTCTGGCATAATTTCTGTTTTGTTTTAGTTGATGAAACTTGCCTTTTGTCCCTCCTTCGCCCAGGTCTTCTTCCTTGTCTACTGCCATGTCACATGTATTTATATTTTAATTGATTCTTTTTTTTAAAATCTAGATTCTTTACATGATAGAAAAGTGATACTTGTCTCAGTCTGGCTTAAAACAAAACAAAACAAAACACGATTGTCTGCAGTTCCACCCATCTCCCTGAATTGACAGGATTCTTCTTGGTGGCCGAATGAAACATCGTATTTTCTTGATACACCAATGGCAGAACCTGGCTCTTGCCAATGATGTATGAACGTGGAGATGCAAGGGCCTCCTGGGTACTGCTCCAGACCGGTCTTAGTAAGTCAGAAATTGCAAGAGGCCCCAGGAGCAGCAGCTGGGTTCTCAGTTCAGTCCTGAACTCATCCGCCCCACCCCACTCCATCTGCTGGAGGCACGAGGGAGGCCCGAGTCTCAGCTTTCAACTTGTGTACACACTGGAGCAACTCATCACACAGTTGCTTTGGGGATGAACCTTCCCCAAGCCTCAAGCCACACCCGAGGCAGAGGTCTAAGATGTGAGCCAATTATTTTCAGGGCCGTGAGGACTGAGAAGGCCAAGTTGCAATTTTTTAACTAATGCTTTTTTTGGCTCTGATCCCAAATTTCCCTCCCATAAGTCCCGATGAGAGCAGGGCGGATGCCCCAAGTAGGATGTCACGACCACGTCAACCTGTGATTTATCTGCTGTGTGATGCATGGAAGCAGAGGGCTCTGTTTTGAGAACCAGTCACCATAGCAACCCAGCTGCCCCAGTTACAGTACTCCCAGCACCACCAAAATAAAAATCCTCACTGAGCGGCTGAATGTCGACTTTCAGTTTCCAGGTGACATCAGCCAGCACATATTGCAGTTTTGTAAGTTTATGGAAGGAGGCTTTAAGTAGTAATAATGAATCTATAATGCTGGGTTACATATATGAAGGGGTTCTAGCTGTTCCTCAGTCACCTTCAAACACCTACAGAAGCTACAGCCAAACAGCAATGCAGCGCAACACAGACACAAGGGGGGGGGCTCACTGTTATTTGCTGGGGCTTGCCAGTTCCACCCCGGTTGGGTACACATGAGAATGTAAGTGTTCCTCTTTAGAAGCAACGACTCAAACACGGTTTCTGTAGGTGTGACATGTTAGAAAAGTGAGATCCACTTTTATTTTTTCTCTACCCCAGCCCATTCTATACACACATACACACACACACACACACACACACACACACACACACACACACACACACACACGGGGGGGGAGGGCACACAGAGAGAGAGAGAGGGAGGGAGGGAGGGAGGGAGGGAGGGAGGGAGGGAGGGAGGGAGGAGGGAGGGAGAGCGCCAGCTGCAGGAGTTGGTTTGTGGATCCTGGTGAGTGAACCCAGGTGGTCAGACTTACTTGCAGTCACCCTTACCTGAGGAGCCATCTTGGTGGTCCAGTACCTTCTTTTAGTTGGCTCTGCTCCTTCGTCTTGGCCACCCGTCACCAAGACCGCCTTGCACTGATGTTTGCTGCATTCCTTCTTCTGGCCCTCACCCTTTCCAGAGATTTTCAGCCTCCCAAGCAGTGGTGTCCCCCTAGATTCTCCCACCTGTCACCCACAATGGTCACTCACCGCTGTCTGTTTTGGTTGCAGGGAAGGTTGTCCAGCACTCCCAGCGGGACCCTCTAGCATTACAGGTGCTTGCTCTCCAGTTCCCCGCCCCCTCTAGTAAGCCATTTCCTAAAGTGGTGTCTATTGGTCCTCTTGTGTTTCTTTACATTTATCAGAGGGCTTCAGCCCTGTTTCAACGCCAGCATCTGCTACATCTCCAAACGACTCTGTCTCCTGTCTCCAATTTACAATCAAATAATCAATATGGAACTGTCCTTCCCCCAGTGAAACCAGACCCTTTCCAGACTTGCTTTATTTTTGTTAGATATCCTCATCAACTCTTGAGTCCAGCCTTAACACTGGACATTACTTAGGTTTCCTTAAACATTCTGCATGGTGTGTTTGCGCATATGTGTGTGTGGGGGGGTGGATGGGTGTGGTGTGGTGCATGCATGTGTGGAGGACACAGCAGAATGTCAGGTGTCTACTGTTCTTAGCCTTGCTGCCTTGAGGCAGGGTCTCTCGTGGAACTAGAAGACTGAGCTCCACCCGTATGTTGGGCTGCAGGCATGTGCAGCCATGCCCACCTTTTTCCATGGGTCCTGGGGATTTGAACTCTCCTGAGTTCATCTTGCTTAAACAGCGAGTGTTTTTACCCACTGAGCCGAGGCTCATTTACCTCATTATGTACTGTCCATCATGCTTTCCTGTTTCCTCCATGTCTGTCTGTCTGACCCCTGGCTGTCTGGCTCCCCTTTTCTCTTTGTCCAACAGTCCTGCCTATCCCTCCTCTGCCTAGGTATTGGTCGATCAGCTTTTTATTAGACTAATCAGGCACCTTAGGCAGGTAAGGTAAAACAGCAACACATCTTTACATTGTTAAACAAATATTCTATTCCACAACAGATGATTGTGAGCCACCATGCTGGGAACTGAATCCAGGTCTATCTAGGAGAGCAGCCAGTTATCTTAACCACTGAGCCATCTCTCCAGACCCTGCTCCTATCCTTTTAAGCCAGGATTTCTCTATGAAGCTCAGGCTGGTTTTAAACTTGCTCACTATTAAGCAGACTACTCTAGAACCTGTGTTGTGTTTACTTAGCCTCCCGAATGCCTCTATCCTTCTGAATAAACCACCAGTGAGAACAACCAAGCCCAGCAACATCTCTCTCAATGGCACACTTTCCTACTTAGTAAGAAGCAGCCCCTCCTGCTAGCCCCTTCTGGCAATGCAGCCATGCTGTATCTGCTTTGCTGTTTGTGACTCTTCAAACAGCACAGCTCAGTTCCTCCTCCACTAATCTAGTTGACTGGGCCAAGTGCACCCTCCATTATCTGCCTGCTAACATCCCAGCCGTTTCCCCACTCAGCTTAAAGTCTCTGTCTGCTCTGATGCCAGGGCTGGCCCCGTGTGGCTGTCACTTCTTCGTCTGATCCCTGGAGCCCTTTTGTCTCTCCTGTGGCCTTTTGTGCCTTTAACTGTCTGCAGGACCAAGTGAGCCTTGATGACCTGGACAGTGACAGCGGAAACAGAGAGGGCTCTGTGCCCTCTGTGATAAGTGCCTGATGCAGAAAGCTGACTTGCCCAGTCACACTTCCCACGGCTGTCTCCTCAGCTGCTACTGGGTGGAGCTCTGCCCAGAAATAAAGCTGCACAGGGAGACAAATCCTGACTAGACAGGAGGTGCTCTCTCTCTGACACGGCTTCTGGACTTCAGAATGACAGCAGAAGGGTTCCAAGTGTCACATAAGATGGGAGGGGGGGTGCAACATTTCATTAGCTCTGGTTTGTTTAGAATCTTAAAACATTTTTTAAAATGGCATTTATTTATTTTGTGTATGGAAGTTAGAAGGCAGCTTCCAGGCACTGGTTCTCTCCTACCATGTGGGTCCTGGGGACTCAGGTCATCAGGCTTGGTGGCAAACACCTTTGCCGTTGTCTGGAATCCCAGGAAATCCCATTTGTCTAACAGCAAGAATGGATTTTGTTTAGCTCCAGTCCTTGGTGAGCTGTGTTCTCTAGGAGAACTAGATCCTGGAACTAGTTAAAATTCTTCCTTGTCACCCATGAACCTGTCTCTTTAACATGGATCATCTAGTGGCTCCACAGAAAAGGGCTTCTGTCAAGGCTGAGTTCTTGCAAACAGAACGAGAACAGAGACCCCACTGACACATGCCACTGAGCAAGCACCACACTGGCATCCTAAAACAAACACCATTCTTAAAATGGGCATCACTGGAGCTGCAGAGAGGGGTCGTTGCTCTTCCAACCTGAGTTTGGTTACCAGCATGCACGTCAGACAGCTGGCAGGTGCCTGGAACTTCAGCTCCACACACACACACACACACACACACACACACACACACACACACACACACATTAAAAGTAAGCATTGAACTGTAGCTTTAAATATATTAACATCTTGGTATCAAATTATACTGATGGTCACCCTCTGAAAACAGAAAGGTGTTATCTGGGGGAGGGAAGAGGACCCAGAGGGAGGAAAGATGGGTGTGGCACAAATATAAGCAAGGTGTTATGATATAGGTGTATAGCAGTGTTGTAACAAAACATCCTGTATGCTAACTAAAACATTATTCTAAAATTATGCAAATTTATTATATATTTTATTATATAAATTTATATATTTGCATAAGGCCCTGTCGTGTCTGGCGCCTTGTAACAAGTATGTGGTGGAGAACAGGGGGGGGGGGGGAAGAGAAGTGGAATGGTCCATGTGCTGCAGAGAGAGGCAGAAAGGAGGAAATGAAGACAAGAGGAGTGGACGGATGCTAGAGGTCTGCGTGGTACTGGTGGCCATGATGATGTCCTGGCCTGGCTGCTGCCAAGGACCATGTCTGGGTCCCTGGTCCTATAGCGGCCAGGGTCTGTGTTGATATCCATGGCTCGCCATCGAGAGCCATGCTGACTCCAGTGGTCTGGGCTACCTCCTGGGATTGTGTTTGGGTCGAGGAGCCACGATGCCACTGGGCCATGCCAATCTGGGTGGCCTTCACTGCCACCTGGGGCCATACTGACAACCAGACCTAGGCTGCTGCCAAGGACTACGCTTGGGTCCATGGTCCTACTGCAGTCAAGAGGTCTACGTTGATGTCCATGGCCCACATTACCACCAAAGGCCACATGAAGACTAGGGTCTGGGCCACAACCTGCATGCTTGATGGGGCCATGCTGCTGCCAGAGTCATCCTGATCTAAGTGGCCGGGGCTACCATTCGGAGCTGAGATGTGGACCAGGCAGAGCGGCTTGCTCCCTGGGGTCATGTCTGGGTCTGTGGCCCAGGTTGCTATTAGGGTCCACCCAGAAGCTTGGGATCTGTGCCGGAGCCTGTGGCCTGGCTGGAGTCTGGGGGCAATGCCACAGCAAGGGCCATACAGTTCTGGGTGGCCTGTGCTGTTACCAGAGTCCATGCTGTCATCTGGGCCCAGGCTGCTGAGGAGGGCCATGTCTGGGTCTGCGGCCTTACAGGATAGATGCATGTGGCTCCTGTTGCCACTGAGGGCCATGAGGATGCCCAAGGTCAGATCAGCCGCCTGAGTCCAGGTTGGTGTCTGAGGGCCAGGATGCATGCAGATCTGAGTGGCCTGTGCTGCCACTTGGTGGCCATGGTGGTATCTAGGCCAGAGTCGCAACTGAGGGTCATGTCCCAGTTCATGACCCTATTGCAGCCAGGATCTGTGCTGATGTCCAGGGCTCCTGTTACTATTGAAGGCAGTGCAGACACCGAGATTAGGGGCCATACTGCCACTGGTGCTTGTGCCGATCTGTGCCGGGGCTTGCACTGCCACCTGGGAAAGTGGTGACATCCAGATCCAGATGTTGCAGAGGACCATGTCTGGGTCCGTGGTCCTACTGTGGTTGTGGTCTGTGCTGAAGTCTGAGACCTGTATCGCCACTAAAGGTTACATAGAAGCCTGTGGTTGGAGCTGCATCCTTAGGCCTTCCTCGGTGGTGTCCAGTGGCCATGAGGCCACCAGGACCAACTTGACCTGAGTGGCCATTGTTTCCACCCAGATCCAGGATGTCATCTGGGTCCAAGCTGCTACTGAGGGCCATGTCTGGTTCCATAGTCCAGCTGAGGTCTGTGAGGTCTTTGGCCTATGTCACCTCGAGAGGCCTTAGGAACCATTACAGATGAAATCAGAGGGCCACACTGAGACCGCCCCACCCTTCGCTGGCCTGGCCTCTTGATGGACACTACAGCAGAGAGAGCTGGCTCTGACCCTCACAGGAGAGCTGGCCCCACCTCTCACCATGGGTGAGGGTGAAGTGACCCTGAGGGCAAGGACTGACCAGCTTAGCTACCACTCTGGCCCACAGCCTGGCTTTGGGTTAGCTCACCCTAACATCTACCCCATCTAGAACTGCTGGAGCTCGTGAAGAGATTGGTCCTGTGGAACGATACCCTCAAGATCTCCAAGACTTGGAGTGGGTCACAGGATATCACAGAGGGGTTCCAGCAAGGATCCAGTGATGATGGTGTACCAGAAACCAGAGGCCTTGAACCAGACCAATGACTCATTGCAATGAACATTTGCTAGTGTAGCTGATAGGACAAAGGAATATATTTTAGGACACACCAAGGCTCCTCACTGCCACCAAGACAAATGAAGAGGTGTTAGAAAGGCAGGGAAGAAGCAAGGGTTTTAGTTTTTTTTTTTTTTTTTTTGAGTGTGTGTGGTTGTTGTTTTGTTTTTGTGGGTTTGCTTGCTTGCTTTCTTTTCTTTTGGGGAGGTGCAGCAGGGGTAAAGGGACGGTATGGGGAGACCAGGAGGTGAGCAGAATTGGGGTATGTGATATGAAACTCCCAAAGAGTCAACAAAGATGTTAAATTTTTAAAAATTATGTATATTTACTATATTTATATATTTTGTTTATAGCATTTTATTATACATGTATTTTTAATGTAATATATTTATGCAAAATTCTATTTATATTATATAAACATAATAAATATAGAATATCTATTATAATTCCCTATTTATTAAAAACATGTTTATGCATCCTTTCAGAAGTGTATTTATTTTGTTAAATTTTATGCATCTGGGTCATTTGCCTGCATGTATGTTTGTGCACTATGTATGTGAATGGTGCAGAATAGTGTGCCAGATCCTGTGGAACTGGAGTTATAGATGGCTGTGAGTCAACATGTTAGTGCTGGGAATTGATCCTGGGTCCTCTGGAAGGGCACCCAGTGCTCTTAACCACTAAGCCATCTCTCCAGCTACAGACACGACAGTGGACACACACACACTCATCCCCCAAACAGCCCCTTTCCATGTGCCCTCCCATGCCCAAGCTTCATTATGGCTCTGAAGTCAGACTATGTGGATTTCAAGTCATGGTTTTATGAATAACTACTGGATGACACTGGGCGAGCTGTTTAAACTCTCTGGTCTCAGCTTCGTCACCATGAAGGAGGCTTACACAGTGGCACCTTCATGGCTTTGTGCTGAGGGTTAAATTGGGTAAGGAACAAGAGGTCAATTGAACAGAGGCACAGCGCTATTGGAAAGAAAAGGTTCAGCAGTTTGCCAGTCTTTATTCAGGGGGTGAAACATCAACACATAGCCAGTCACTAGAAAAGGCTGCACACGAACACTCAAAGCACAGGCAGCGGCCAGGACACCACTGTGTGACCCAATTCAAACTGTAATTAAACTGGCTAAAGAAATCATACATTCCACTGTTATCCAAAGGACAATTTGCCTCTTCCAACTTGTGAGTTAAACAGAATAAAAATACAAGAGGTGACTGCTTGTTTGGGTGCCCCAGACACACACATTTGTTGTTTTCAACAAATTGGTATTTCCAAAGGACAACGGCTTTTCTTCTCTACCCGCTTATCTGAGGAGACGTCACAGCACACAGAGAAGGGAACAACCACTGACGACCTGGAATGTGGGACACTGAGTGCAGACAGAAGCAGCAATTCAGAGCAAATCCACTTTAACCGTCTCTTCTGTATGACGAAAACCAGCACCGGGCACCGGCATGTTGCTGTAACGTATGTACGCCCTCTTACTGTGCACTGTCATTGTTACTTCCCCACACAGCTGAGGAAGATGCTGCGCGCGCGCTCGCACACACACACACACACAACACACACACACATGGACACACGCACGCACACACGTACAGACGCACACAGATATTTCCGTTTTGTCTCCCTCTCACTCAATCTTGGCTTATGCAACCATAAATTAAAACAAACAAAAAGGATCAGCCCCAAGCAACGCAGGCTACCAGGTGCCTGCCGACAAAGTCTTGTGCTGAAGCTCAGGACCAGACAGGAAATAGTTAACCTCAAAATGAGAGCCAAATAACCAAGGAAAGTGACAATTCTTGTGAAGCCTGGTTACATTTTCTTATGATTCTTTTGAGTAGACATTTCTAAGTTAAATTAAACCAACAGAGAATTTCCCCCAAGACATTCTCCAAGGCAACATGAAATCAAATTCCGCTCGAAAAGCAAAAGGCCAGAATTGAGCCTCCTTCCTCCTGGTCCCTGTATCTCAACACTTTCTGGACCCAATGGGGCTGGGTTGCGTCCAGTTCCTTATGAGCTAGGATTGTACCACGAAGCATGTGGACATGTGCAGGTTTACAGTCTAGAGATTGTCCACTAAATGGACATACTGATGGCCACCACCTTTTGTTTTTTGAGATACAGCTGCCTCTACCTCCCCAGAGCTGGGACAAGGTCTGTCAACCACCATGTTTGATGGCTACTATTAAATAGGACATCTCCTCATATAATTTTAAGAAAACACCGAGAGGTGCTAAGATTTAAGCAAGGAAACTCAAGGATAATTTCTTGTAATTTTTAGGCTCAAGGCTTTAACCATAATGCTGACCTAGCTTTTGAAGGGCTTTTAAGAGCTACCCAGGAGCTCACCAGTAAACTGGGTATTTATGATTTCTGAACAACAAAAGTCAAAGGTAGCAAAACGCTGCTGGAAAACAAAGTCAGACATTCACTCTGCAGCTTTCTGTTCCTTTAGCAAAGATTCAAAAACAAATTTGAAAAAAAATCTGAGAAAACCAAACAACTGGAGGATGTACAGGAAGGGTTCCACACCTGGAAATCATGGGGCAGTCAGGAAGAGGTGGCGGGTCTTCACCTGGGACAGCCATTCACAGTTCAAGAGAAACCACCAGTCACGGTCAGGCTCACTGGAGGCTGCGCGGCTGCTTATTCTCACGTGTCAGAGCGAGCAGCTGATGCAGGGAGCTGAGGGACGATGCAAGTCAGTGTTAAAAGACTGTTGCACTAGGCACGAGGACGCTTGGAATGGTGGCTTTGAAATTTAACCCTGAATGACACACCCATCATGGCATGCGCTATGCTCAGATCTTTGCTTTATGGAACAAGACAACAGAAAAGGGAGGCGGAATTACACAGAGAAGAGGCTATGCACCCTAACTGGGAGTGATGCCTCCATGTCAGTGAGCTGGGAAGCACGGTGAACACCTGAGTGAATGCAGTTCACCAGGCAGCTCTGTCCTAGCCAGAAGGTGAATACATTTTCATCCCTGGGATGAAACAGGTGGCTCAGATCTCTTTCCACCTTAAGCTTAATCTTTCCCCCTATTTCCCACACCACAGGGTAGAAGCCTGCAGTAATCAATTACCTGGGTCTTGATACTCTCAATTCATTCCTGAAGGACCCTGGACAGGACAGATCCTACGCTGTCCTCCACATTGTTGGATTAACCAACCAAGGACCAGAAACAAGCGCATCTCTATTAAACACGAAGACTCTCGTCCTTACCCCTTGAACAGCACAGGGGACAGCCCCTTACACACCACCTACCCTGCATCAGTTGCTGTTAGCCACCTAGAGATGGTCTGACGTTCACAGCAAACACCACCAAAGGAAGCAATCGCTCATGGACACTGAGGGACAGCTGTACTCTAAGTACCAATAAATCATGATGTCAGCAGGAAGGTTCGGTTCTAAGTGCAAGATGGCTGACACTGATGAAACCATCAACTGTGTGGCAAGGCTAGAATTCATGTCGGCATCAGCGCTCGAGGTAGGGAGTTTACTGCTTGTTACTGAACACATGAGCAGCTAGTACTTAAATATATTTTGCAAACAGCACGAGGATGCTGTGAATCCTGTGGTTAACACAGAAAGGCCAACGACATCGATCACGAGACTGGTTTGTGAGTCTTTAAACATCTATGTGCTTCTTTTGAATCCTTGTGCATTCTCCGCCTTGGTCTCCCATCTGCCTACAGTGGCTAATGTGAAGGAGACACACCCACATCTAGAAAGCACCTGGCCCTCCTCTGCTCGTATCTGGTCCTCATCCAGGTGGGAGAGGCAGTCAGCACAGGAGTGTGGGCAGGGCAGAGATGGCATGCTTCTGGGATGGCACCGGCGTCATTGATGTGTGAATGACGTCAGTGACATGTGGGTGGGAGGAGTCTGAACACTCTTTGCTGTGATTTGGGCTTAAGAGTAAGAACTTGGAGGTCAAATATTGAGAAAACCAAGAATTCTGAGGTGTCTTTCATGGCCTCATCAAATCCTGTCAACATTTTTTGCTGAAGCACTGGTTTAAACAGCCCAGTCATAGTGCATGCTATATACACGTGGTGAGCAGGAGGCTAGTGGGCTGGCTTGTCTCTGTGAGCGGGAGGTGAAGAAGCTGAAGACCACAGCTGGAGGGCATGTGAGAGCAGCAGCCCTGTCTCAGCTCTACCATACCTGTTCAGACAGTGCTGGAACACAAAGGAGTACTTTTTATCAGCCTTAATGGCAAACATTGGCTCTGCTTCCTTCAGGTGGTGTAACCCTGCCACACCTTATTTAAAATGGAGCACTGCAAGCCTAGCACAGACAGGGCACAGAGGGGCAAAAGGCAGGAGGGGAAGCAAGGACACATCTCAGGCCAGAGCTCAGGGGGAAATTGTGGGGAATAGAATGCCCATCCCTAAAGGCCCTGGGAAAGAAAGAACTGCTATGCAAATGACTGATGAGCAGCGATCTGAGTGCGGTCATTTTCTCACTCTGCCTCCGGACACCACGTCTGCATAGGCCGTGTGGAGGAAGTCGTGCAGCTGCTTGGCGTTTCCCGCATGCCCCAGGATGCTCGTGAGCTGCTCCTGGGACAGGGAGGCCAGCTCTGCGATGTTCTTCACGTGATTCATCAGGGAGCGACAGTTCTTGGCATTGATCCCAGGCATCTTTAGCACGAAGTCTTGGGGGCCGGGGTTATACTTGTCTGACTCTGGCAGCGTTTCTGAGTCTGCGGTGATGGCCATGGCCGTGGCCGCATCAGGCTGCGGCTTGTTCTGCTTCAGTTCCTCAAACAGCTCGGCTGTGGCATGAGGTGAGGGGCACCAGAGCAGCCGCAGGCGCGGGAAGTGCAGGGTGAGGAGAGTGAGCTTGGAGCTCACATCGCTGCTACTCATCTCCTGGAAGAAGGAACCGCGTGGCGCCAGGGAGAAGGGCTTGCCAGCGTCGAACTCGATGAGCAGCACTGGCCGCCGGTAGTAGCGTGACATGGCCAGGCACTGGCTGTACAGGCGGCCACTATTTAGCGATCCGATGAGGTCACTCACGCTTTTGCGCTCCACACAAAGCTCAGGCGTCAGGATGTAATCGCCTACCTCCAGGGTCACTGGCTCGATGTCGATGCCCCTACGATGGATCAGGGACGGCAGCTCACTCCGAAACTCACGCATGTCCACCACAATGCTAGGCTGTGTGCCATTACGCTCCTGGCCACCTATGAAAAGGGATATTTATATTTAGGTCATGTCACAGGGAAGAATGCTCAGAGATGAACTGATAGGTTTATATCCATTTCTTTTGTTAAACTCGCATGGATGATATAATACTTCCTACTATTCCAAAAAATAGCATTTATAGAGAAAACAGAGGTCGTTCCCCCCAAATTAAATGGAACCTATAGGAAAGTTAGACAGGGCTGGCAGTTCATGACTTACAGTGGCATGCACTCTGCTCTGGCTCCTCTCTGGTCCCTCACGGGAACACTGACCACATTTGTCTTGGGCCCTCTATCTCCGGCTCTTATGCACAGTAGCCTGCCTTCTGAGCTGCTGGGTCTAAGGAAGAGGCTGGGAACAGCTTCTTACACTGATGTGCATACCTGGGCCAAGCTAGCAAGCAGATTCTGAACTCCACAGGTATGGCATCAAAGGCTCCCAAACTTCACTTCCAACAGCCCCTAGGGGTGATAATGCTGTTGTTTTAGGACAACTTTATTTGTGGTATATGCGCACGTGTGTCTGTGTATGCTTGTGTGTAGCTATGTGGAACCCTTGTATGGAGGCCAGAGGAAGGAGGTAAGTGTCCAATCTGTCATTCTTCCATCTTATTCTCTCCAGACAGGATCTGTCACTGAACCTGAATCCAGGCCAGCAGTCAACAAGCCCCAGGGATCCTCCTGTCGTAGCAGTGGTTGTGAAGGCCCCATCAGTGCCGGGGATTTGAACTCAGGTTTTTATACTTATATAGCAAGCATTCCTACCCACCGCAGCATCTGCTCAACTCCAAGGGCACTCTTGAGTGTTTAAGGCTTTTATTGGCAGAATTATATCCCCCAAGTGTCTGCACCCCAATCACTGCTCAGTGGGGTTACCTAGAACAGTAAGAGGGGCTTTGAGAATGGGATTCAGGTAAGCTTTGGGAGGCTGGGTCGCCCTGGGCCATATGAGGTTATGATTTGGACATGTAATGTCCCCAGAGGCTCACTGTGCTTCAAGGTTTGCTCCTGTGGTCATGCTCAGGGGGATCTGTGCCTCACAGAGGATTACTGCACAGATGAAGTCACAGCCGAACGGTCTGCTGGGAGATAGGGCCAAATCACTGGTGCGTGCCGCTGAGGGCTGTCCTGCACTTACCCTCTGGTTTTCTGTGTTTGCTGCCATAGATGAACAGCTTTCCGTCCCACACCCTTCCACCATGGTGTTCCACCTCATCACAGGCCTGGGAACAACGAAGCTGGCTGAGTGTAGACGGGAACCTCTTGACAAGAGCCCAAACAACCCTTCCCTTAAGTTGCCTCATCTGACATTCATCAGAGCAACAGAGAACTAAGACACCTGGGTAAGCCCAGAGGCACATGGGAGAGAACGGGGGAGGCACCAGGGTCAGAGAAGACATCAGTATGGTTTTGAAGGCAGAGGGAGGGGCCACGAGCCAAGAATGCAGGGAATACCTAAGGCACTGTGACAAACAAGGATAGGTCTCTTCGATGAACTTCCAGGAAGAAAACAGCCCTGTGAGCACCCTGACACTAGCTCAATGGCATCCAGTTAAGATTCTGGCCAGCATACAGACCTGTTAGGAGGGCAATGGGTGCTTTTCAAGTCACCAAGGTTGTGTAATGTTTTGCAGCAGCGATAGGAACCTCAGACAGAGGCTTCCAGAGGGCAGATCCCTAGGAAGTATTTTGTGTGCCAATACGTATAGCTTGACTCTCCCTCCTCTACCCTGCCTTATGGGATGTAGTTCCTCCTAAAAAAAAAAAGTCACCAAGCTAGACAGAGTTAAGAATCTGCCTCAAAAAAAAAAAAAAAAAAAAAAAAAAAGGCACAGATGCTCTGAAGCCGTGCTCCCCAGAGTGCGCGGTGCAAGGTCCTTCTCACCCACAGCAGCGGAATTTCTACGTGAGAAGCCAGTAAGTCACATGTACATAGCACGTGTGGAAATCAGAGGTTATTCTCAGTAGTGGCTTCTCTCCTGCCACCTAGTGGGATGGGACACGGGACTCAGATAGTCAGGCCTTCATGCAAGTGTTTCTAATTTACCTCAGAGCCATTTCTCCAGCCCTCTCCCCGGGCCCTGACAATACCTAATAAAACAGCCTAAGGGAGGAAGAATTCACTTTGGCTCAGGTTTCCATCTACAGGCAGTTGGCTCCATTGTTTCTGAGTCTGTGGCAGGCACAGTGCCACAGGAAAGGCACGGGCATGGAAGCTATCACCTTAGGTCCACAGGACTGTGACTACACTGATTGCACCAGAGACTAAATCAGCTTTAACCCTCTCCTGCTGCTTGCTGATGGCAGCTGGCATGGGAAATGGCATTCCTTGTGAAATCCAGCAGGCCTTGTGGCATGCCGAACACCTGGGACTGGAGAGACAGCAACAGGCAGAAAGCGCTCAGAGTAGGGAGGGCACGTGTACCCTAAGAAGTCCCAGCAATGTGTGAACCCGAGAGGACAGGCAGAGGAAGTTAGGGAAAGCTTCCTTCAGTTGTCGTACGAGTCATCGGGCTTCCCTGGGTCACAGAACCTACCCAGCTGACCCAAGGCATCACTGGCAGAGTTCATCTGGAATCTTCCCCAATCATTTCCTTTTCTTTATCAAATATTTATTATTTTTATTTATTTGGATGTGTGTGTGTGTGTGTGTGTGTGCCTGCATGAGTTTATATACACCACAGGAGAGCAGGTCCTTGGAGAGGCCACAAGATGGTGCTGAAGTTACAGGTAGTTATAAGCTGACTGACATGGGTGCTGGGAACTGAACTCAAGTTCTCTGCAAGAGCAGCCAAGTGCTTCTAACAGGTGAGCAACCTCCCCAGCCATATCTATGTTTTTAAGAGTTTATCTAGAGAAACTCATCTATGTAGCTCTGAGCTTCACAGTGTCCTCTAAGGGCAAAAGTGGCCCCAGGTCCAGGGCCGGACTTACCAGCTTTCCGAGTGTCAGTGGGAGCATCTGTGGACACTGTGCCTCTTGCTAAGTCCAGGTTGGTTTCATCTCTGCCTTCCCGTTCTTCAGGGACAACCATGCTAGCCTTTTCCCTGGGGGAACAAATATCGTGGCATCATTTGACTAATCTCAACATTCTAGATGAATCTTTTGAAAAGTCCAATATCTAAGGCGATCTACATGCACTAGGGGTGCATACCTGTAATGCTCACACTTAGGAGGCTGAGGCAGGAGGATGGCCTATGACACTGACTGCAATGGTGAAAGTGAATACAAGGGAATACATCCGAAATAAGCAAGCAAATGGGAAGAATTGGAGCCGGAAGTCACGTGGCTGGGCTTTCCAGAGTTCAAATAAGCTCTTTTTGTTTCTTTATGTGACTGAGATTGCCTGAGTCTGCTGTAAGGCGGAGGCATTATCAATATCGAAAAACAAATCATTTAAAGTCAGATATTTTCAGGATCATAATTAGGGAGGGTTCGGCCAATGATTAAGAAAAAGAAAATGAAAACAGACACGACAGAACCCTGACTGGAAACCCTCCAGGTCGGAGGCCCCCATCAACCACCATTAGTTTCAAAGGAGAAGCAAGGTCAATACAAGAATAAAATTTCTGTCAGGGTTCAAAACAGGTAACCAACATCTGGGAAAGAGCTGGGAACAGCAACCACTCCTGTGGGTTTGCTTGAAAGCACTGGGAGTGTTCCCTGTATAAGAGTGACCACTGGGCTGGCAAGAAGGCCCAGTGGGTAAAGGCGCTTGCCGGACTATCCAAGTCCAAGCTCCAGAACACACCTGGTGAAGAAGAGAACTGACTCCCGCAAGTTGCCCTCTGACCACCACATAGTGTACATGCACACTTGTATGGATACAGACAGACATGCATGAAACAAATAAACACATGTAACAAAAATGACCGTATAGTCCTTCTAGTCGTCAGAGTAACCCAGTGTCTCACACACACGGCTCAGGAGAACTGCTAAGTCACCTGCTAAGACTTGACAGACATCATTATTGCAAGTAAGTCCCCACAGTGAGCTGGGGGTTCTGCATCTTTGAAGCCACTAAGCATGTGACAGCTAACTCACGAGACCGTTAAGTACTAAGGGTGCCTGCTGTGACAGAACATTCTCCTGAGACCTGCAGCAGAGTTGAGGAAGTAAAGCCGGCAACGTGAACAAACCACAGACTGACAACTTCAGCAGAGACTGGGGCTAGGGAAGCAGAAGGAGCGGCCAAGACAGATGTGTCTCCCCCAGGGTCAGAACAACACCTACTTCCTGGAGACGCAGCAGAGCAGGACTCCACTTGAACACTACAAAGAACAGCGTGTATGTAGTCTACAGAGGCACATGTGGCCCGGAGAGTGTAACTGGGAACCCTACACGGTGTGGAACAAGCCCCGGGTACAGAGCTGCTGCGAGCCCAGCATGTGGGGACAGACGAGGGCTTGCTCTCCTCACTGTCCTGTAGGCCAGGTCAAGGGCTCTGTGATGCAAACCCTTGCCCAGCAGCACCTCCTGGCCACACCCAGAGGACCCGAGAGGAGGGCCAGATACTCGAACACTAGCAGACCCTCAGTATCTTTTTCTCTAACATTTTTGCTTTGTCCTCTTTATTTTTACCACTTTCCCATGTTAAGCTGCAGGTCACACAGTGGGGGGTGGGCACCCCAGCTTCCTGACGAATCAGCTGTGGGTAGACAGTGTACTCAGGAGCAGGGACCTAGTTCTTATTGGCAGTGTGATCTGGAATCATTCAGTTGCTCCTTGCCTCAGTTTTAAAAAAAAATCTGTAAAATGGGAATAATGCCGATAAAATCTACCTGAAAAGGCTGACTACAGGGTGCACTAATGTCTGAGGAGTAGTTCTTGGCATTGCGCATCTGCCACAGTAAGTGAAACCCTCAGGGCCACTGGCCCGCTTTTGGTTTTCTAGGGTCACATTAAGAAGCTACAGGTCTGCTGGCAAAGGAGGCTGGCACTGTTTCCACTTCTGAGAGTACTTACACTCCTGAAAGGAACTAGTAACCATGAAGAAAGCAAGTTGCTGAGCAGGCGCAAATTCCTTCAGCGGGTATTTACTGTAATCAGAAGCATCCATCCCTTGTACACATCACTCAACACAACTACTCTAGCTGCCTGTGGCAGACACGAGACAGTTAAATTCCAGACCTCTTTCCACCGTATCCTCAGGACTGACGGTTTCTGTTGTTGCTTTAATATTTTCAATATTTTTCTTCCTATGTACCCAGGCTTGCCTGGAGTGCTGGGATTTTCAGTGGTATGTGAATGGCTCTAAATGTGATGTGCGGAGGAAGAAGAGCCCAGGAGTCTTTGGATGTCCTCTTCAGCAAAGCCAAGTAATCCTGACCTTTCACCGAGAGCCACGGACCTGCCCAACAGGCGGCATCTTGCCCTCACTCTCCAGCAGCTCAATCTAATTATCTCTAAGCCAGCTAAGCGGTCCTTGTTCGCTGCCAGTCCTCCCTGGTTATTTTAAACAGCAGCCAAGCTTTTGTTCTTACAGCATCACCCATGGAGGCCTTGGCAAGAGTCTGTTCTCTTCCTGTCACAGTAAATTTTCTCCCGGTTCAGGCGAAGTGCAAATGCCCTATTGGCAGTGAACCCCAAATGTTCCTTTGTGTTTTTAAAACAAACACCATTCAAATTTCCCCTCTTCTGGGAAAGTGAGAGTCCTAAGATGCTGAGCAGTGTAACCACTTGACTTCTGTGCGAAGCAGAAGACTATAACAAGTAGGTACTGAGTTTAGAAAAAAGTGATGCTAAGTTTTAGGTAAAATATCGCTAAAATGGATGTGTAATTTCTTGTGGGCTGGGGACTAACTCAGGACACATACATGCTACACAGATCTTCTACCCCGATGATGCCCCATCCCTGATAAACACAATCATTTGTACAAGCCGGGAGAGGCATGAGGGTGCACAACACATTACCACTATTGACTTCAAGCACCCTGGAGACAGCAAGGTGAAGCATTAACTGAGCAGGGTGCAGCTGCTGGAAAGTCCCAAGAAAGGCCTTCATGCTCAAAGCTGGGCCATAGCTCGGTCCTGGGGATGAGCACGGAGCCTGTGGAACAGCGCCTGGCAGAGGACTGCTGTGTCTGAGGCATTGGGTCACAGGTAACAGTGACTGGTGGAGATTGCCTGATTTCGCTTTGGCAGGCTGCAGTTGGAGAGGTCAAGTCAGTCACATGGGCGCTGTGTCTGTGAGACCGAGCCTCAATGAGAACTGTGGACATCTTTACAAACGCATGCGCCTCATGCCACCTAGAATGTTTAGTGCTGCCCCAGAGTCCTAAGGTTCTGGGCCTTCTGAACCTCTGGGCTCTCCTACATACCTCTGCTCAACATGATCCCTTTATCACTGCATTTGCATAGACTAGAGCCCAATGAATAACTTCACTGTTGGAGACTCAGTAGCTGATGGTCTAGAGGACAGACAGGAGGCTCTGAGAACTGTGACTAAGAAGCGGTTGTCTGTATAATAACTGCTGTTATACTACTACTTCTGAAACAGCTAGCTTTTCAACACACACACACACGCACAAACACACACACACACACACACACACACCCCATAATACACAATAGGAACAATCATGATGCATCTCTATAGGCTAAGAGGACCAAGTAACAAAACTGTACAGCTAGCAGCTTCAAGGAAACACCGCTATTCTAGAAGATATGAAGGGAAGGGTGCTATTCACACACCACGATAAACTCCTCCAATGGGACCAGAGGCACCCACCTGTGAATACCCATTTTTAGAAATGTCTGTGTTGGACTACCCTGGGAATCCAGAGGCTGAGCATCCACAGATAGCTCTGTAGGACACTGTCCATTCTTAGATTCTGCCTAGCTCAGTGCCAGGCTTACTGCCACTGTACACTGCCAATGGTGAAGGCATGGAAAGCCAGTTATGAAGACGTACCCCATTGTCTTCTCTGGACTAGGCTTCTCTGGCTTAGCTCTATGATGCCTGGTCTAACCCTGGCTTCTTAGTCCCTTGGGTCATCAGTGCACTGCAGTCTATTGACATGGCTCCTGGTGGGTCATCTGATCTCCCTAGGTGCTTAGGGGTGAAGTTTGTGATTATTCCATAAACAGCTCCTGTTAAACTGAACAACATCTTCTACCAGGATTGGTAACATGACATCCACTCTCAAAAACATGTCACAGATTAAGAAAAATAGCACATCCTTAAAAAAAAAAAAAACCTTAGAATGATTCTAGCTACAGTGATCAGAACTGGGGGTGGGGCATAAAATACTTCCCAGCTCATGATAATGTAGCTGCTCACCTGCAGACAAGCAAGATTTTAGGAGGGAAACCCCACAATTCAAAAAGAAGGCCCCTTGAGCAGAGGTGCAAGGTTGAGAGCTTCTGTCCTACAGCAGTGCCTTGTGGAATGTCTGATGCTACACACTATAGATGAAAATCAGTTTCTCTCACATATTTCTGATATGGAACATGTGAAACTCAAAATGCTAAAAAAAAAAAAAAAAAGCCAAGTGTTTGGCTGGTCAACACGGCAGCACAGGAGAAAAATTCCATGCCCAATCCTGTGCTGAAGGAACCTGCAGACATGCCCAACTTGCTGCCTCCAACAACTTTCAAGGCCACAGGTCTAACAGACACATTGACATGCTCATGACTGGATCCTGTCACTAACACATCTTACTACATATATGAAAATATTACAACATTTGAAATACTTCTGGTTCCAAGTATTTCAGGTAAGGGATACAATGAGAGATCCTACTCACTAACCCCACATTAAGCAACTGCAGCGGGAAGAGAGAGGGAAGGGAAGTGTGGGGGGGCAGGTCCCCAATACCAGCCATCCCCCCCTTCATGACCCTCCCTTCCCTGTTTTTCCTCCTCTCTCTTCCCAGGGTGCTCCAGAGAAGATACTGGCTGTCCACAGATCCTGGGAAGGCTAGGCTAAGTTTGGCTCCCATGAGCCGCGTCTTACCTTATGAGCTTTTCAAATGCTTCCTTTTCCTTCCGCAGAGCGGTCAGGTAACGCTGTTCTTCCGTGGAGCCTCCGTATATAAGAAAGTAAACCCTGTGGGTTCAGACAGAACTCTTTTAGGTTGCAAAACTGTAATTCCTAATCCCCGGGAGGCCAGCACAATCTAGTGTCTGAGAGCAGTAGCCCTGGACACTCAGGAACAGCAACTTGAGAAAGAGTGAGGAGCTCACTGCTCAGTTCCAAGGCTCAGATGGAGCTACACAAACCCTACCAGCTAAGGGTTCTAGGGCTGTTAACCCATGAGGTTTCTTTTTCTTTCCACCAAATAAAGGTAAATACTGAACTATAGCTAGAGGATAGAAGAATTCTTTTTTTCATAACTATAAACAAATAAAAAAGAAGCCCACAAAATCTCTTAGAGGCTTCTTTTTCAACTCTTTCCTTTGTACTTCTGCCAAACTAAAGCTTAAAAGTTGGACGATCATCATTAGAATCAGCTTAGGGAAATTCAATGCTGGTGACAGCAAACACCTTTACCCTTACCGTACTTTCTCAGTTCCCTTTATTCATTTCGCAACAGACTGGAGCCAGAAACGTTTTAAATAAACACATGGACAGTATCAGGAATCTCAATTTTTTTATATATATATTTTGTCTCAAAAGGGCTTTGCTCTGGGGCTAAAGAGATGGCTTGTTGGTTAAGAGTGTTTCCTGCTCTTCCAGAGGACCAGAGTTCAGTTCCCAGCACCAACGTTGGGTGGCTTACAGCTGCTTTCCCCATGCCATACCCTGCATCTTTGGCGACTGGTGCACACATATACATCCATCATTAAAAACAGTGTATAATAAAACCAGGGAGCGTGGGTTTTCTCATCTGTGGCTAAGGCTGAGTTAAGCGCCACCGTCCACCTCCCTCCCCCATTAGAGTTCACCGTTATGCCCTCTTTACTTTTAGCACACATCTTCCCAACTGTCTCACTTGGAAGCACAGAGAGGGGAAAGGCCCCTGGGGTGAGTCAGGAGATTTCAGCTGCCCCATGGATGTGTCATGTGGCCGAAGCCAAATCAACTTCCATTTCTGGGCCTTAGTTTCCCGCTGATGGAGTGAACAGCTGAGTTCCAAGGTCTCTTCTGCTCTGGACATTTTGATTTCAAACAGGATAGTGTCCTGTTGTTGGGCAAAAAGATTGCTACATGTATACTGCCTGGGAACCAATGCCTTTATCCCGCGTTCTTCTGAGCCAGCCCCCTGGTCTGAAAGGCTGCTGTAGTTACCCTGTTGCTGGTTCAGACTGAGTTCAGGGTATTAACTTTGGTGTTTATTTCCCCTTAGCCAGCTGGGAAGTGAGAACACTGTATTCTCTGGAGGCATCACTTTCTTACCTGATAGATTGGCAGATTTTAAAGAGATATTTCTAGAAACCCAAGAAAACTCGGTACAATAATTCCTAAAACACTTTAGTTTTATAAGTATGAAGTCTAGAGTCACTTTAGAGACTTCCTGTCTGAGTGCAATCCCTGGAGCCCACAAAAAGAGGGAAGGCATCAACCAACTCCTGCCAATTGTCATGATGTTCCCACACCACACACATTATTAAGAATGCTTAAAATTTTACAGGGTGTTTTAGACGATTAAAAACATTTGGCTAAGTCATTAGTATATTACACAGAACGTTATTAATTTCCTAGACTTTCCAGATACCGTACCCTGTAAGAGACACACTCAGACAAAAAGAAAAAATATGAGCAGGACAGGGAAAACTCCAGGGTTGCTGGAAGCTTGCAGTTTAGGAGGGGTGGCTGACTTCTGCATGCTGCGCTTCCTCTCATTTATCACAAAGCAGCGTCAAACCAGCCTCACGGTGGGTTAAAGGTAAGAAAACCACTATGCAGACCAGACAGCTTTTTGTCCTAAATCCCGCAGAACCGCCAAGCACGGACTTGCCTCAGCGGTTTCCCGGGCCTGCTGGCCCTGTAGATCTCCAGCTGCCTGACAAAAGTGAGCTCAGCATCGTACAGAACCACGTATCTGGGCTCCACCTCGTGCAGTACCCGCGTCAGGGCATAGGGGTCGCTGCACCCCACAAGCGGATGGATGATGGTCAGGGGTTCTTTCAGGATGCCATAGGCCGAGTCAGATGACAAATTTAAATCAAAAGCTTCATGCTGAATCTCTCCCCCGCAGCCTTCTGGGTTACTGGTGGCTTGTTTGTGCTGACCTTCCTCTGCAGGCCCTTCCTCTGGCGGCTCCTCAGCAGTCCCCAGCACTTGCGTCAGAGTCAGCTCTCGCTTCTTCCTTTTAGGAGCCCCCTTTTTGGTAGAGGCACGCTCTTTGTTTCGGGTGTCTTTGGGTCTTTTGCCATATTTCATAGTTCTCTTTGGGCCGTCCCCCTTTCTACAATTCACCCACACTTCTTCGGCTTTGCTGTCCTTCTCAAAGGTTTTCCTGTAGAGCCGCAGCAGGAAGGCCTCCGCCCCTGCGGTCAGGTAGTCTCTCAGCTGGCAGCAAGTCCGGTCATCGCTTGCACAGATCAGCACCTGGCCTGCAATCAGAACATATGCTGGCTTGCTCACTCACATTCTCTGCTCCTTTGGGTCACCCTGGGTCCCCTTCTATGGAAAGGCATCTTACCCTCGTTAGAGAACCCAGTTTACAATTGGGTCAGAAAGGGGCTGGGGCCCCAGTCCCACGCTGTCACCTACGGGCTGATTCACAGAGTAAAGTTGAAGCCACAGTTATTTAGTCTAATGAAAGCAGAGCCAAGGCACAATGCAAGCTTTAAAGACACGTCTATTGACTAATTTTCTAATTTTCTAGAGGCTCCGAGACTCCAAAATACATTCCAAATGTCCAATCTTCAATCATAAAGGATGGCTTCTCTTTACCTCTAAGATGGAGGTGATCTAGTCTTAAAAGTAGAAAATTGGTCTCAGAGATTATTATATATAAAGGTTGATTTTAGAGTAATAAAACCAGCATTAGAAAGTCTGGAGACATAATCAGCAGATAAATTGGTGTGGTTTAAATAGGCCAAGGCAGCTAAGACAATATGCGTCAGAGATGGGGCTGAGGACAAGGGTTAGCCCTAATAGCATCTGAGATGTCTTCTCAGATTAATGAAGCTGTTATGTATGTGTAAAGTGTGTATACAGCTATACAAAAATACAGAGGATTTCCAGTTAGCTAGCTGAGTAGAATGAAAATGGCTATCATAAAAACCAATGCCACAACAAGCCCATAACCCCAGCACTGAGGACGCAGAAGCAGGACTATTCCAAATCCAGGGACAGTCTGGATTACAAGACCAGTTTGTAGTTAGCCACTTGAGAACTGTGCAACCAAGTTATAAACATGTCACAAAACCCCTCAGTTTTTAAAATTAAGTTTTGATTGCATTTATTTACTTAGTGTGTTTATAGGTCAGAAACCCTTTCTATACCCCTCCACTATGCGGTTTCCAGGGAACAAACTTAGGTTGTCTAGATGGCATCTCACCAGCCCCCTCCTAATGCTCTAAGTGTAAGTTTTGTGTTGGTCCATAAGCCCAGCAAGCCAAGGGATGGGCACATCCAGATGACGTTAACAACGTGAAATAGAAAACGTGAAAGAAGCCTAGAAGGAAATACACTAATGTCAACACCACATCATCTGGCATCAGAAAATCTTGCCCCCCTCCATTTCATTATTCTTTTCACTTTATCTAAGTGAGCATTTGTGACCAGGATCTACTCATATAATGATCAAATGCCTTTTAAAACAGGATTTATTTCTTTGTGTCTGTGCCCAAGTTTGAGTGTGAACATGCAGATGCCTTGAGGCCAGAAGGCACCAGATCCCCTGGAGCTAGAGTTACAAATAGTTGTGAGCTGCCTAACGTGGGTGCTGGGATTGAACCTGCAGCCTTCCCAAGAGCAGCAAGCGCTCTTAACTGCTGAGCCATCTCTCCAGCCCCTTTAGAGACTTTAGAGAAACTAAGCATTGGTTTCACTGTGGCATTTTATAGTGTCACTGCACTTTGTCCCCTTGTCACCCTGCTTGCCTTCTGACCTTTACTACCTTGCAGGTCAAAGATTCAGTCAGTATTTTCAAACATGTAGATTTATTCTCTACCTAGTTTTACTTTGAATTTACAGTTCTGTTAGCACATTCATGCTTGAAGGTAGAGGTCTAGAACTTGGAATTGTTTTTCTAGGGCTCAATCAATAGAAACATTTAAACTTCTTTGGAAAAACCCTTGGCTGGGGGGGGGCAGTATAAAACAGAAAAAAAACCCATTAGCCAATTAATAGATATTCCATATTTAAAACTAATGACTATATACATGGAAATTTGCTGATTCTTTAACAGAGGTTCCAAGAGACCAAGCAGTGAAGATTGCGCTTCGTGAATACACAATGACTCAGTCTGGAGAAAAGCACAACAAACTGAAGAGGTCTTGGGAGCCAGGAGATTGACATCTAATGTCAGTGTGCTGTGTGGGGTCTGGTGGCACCTGCCTGGAATCCACTACTAGGAAGTAAAGGGAGGGAAAACCAGAATGTCAAGGCCAGCCTCAGATGTACAGCAAGCTCAAAGCCAATCTGGACCAATGAGATCTTGTCTCAGAAACAAAAACAAACATTAAGCCAACGTCGCCATCTCCCTTTGTTCCTACCTGGGCCACCAAGAGCTTCACTCTCCTTATTTTCTGCTTCGATTTCCTTCAGGACTTCGCTTAACGCCTCCCACTTTGGGTTGCTTTCTAGGACCAGTTCCTTTTTTGTTTCTGTATAGAAATAAAATAGAACCACATCCTGCATGATGTTTAGCCAAAACCACGCAACAGAAAACTAGCATCGACGGGAATGGACACGTCCTTGGGCCTCAACCATGCCACACAGGCCCTGCCACCCTGGAAAAGCATGCTGACAGGTCTGTGGAATGTGTGGAGGTGACGGGACACACAGCTGACAGAGACAGTTCTGTGTTGTCACTTGTGACACTGTACACAGGCAGTTACACAAGGCAAGGAATAGGTGCTACCAATATTTATTCTTTTGTAAATAACAATTTTTAAACTTTATTTTTATTTCATGTGCATTGGTGTTCTGCCTGCATGTATGTCTGTGTGAGCATATCAGATCCTCTGGAACTGGAGTTACAGACAGTTGTGAGCTGCCATGTGGGTGCTGGGAGTTGAACCCAGGTCCTCTGGAAGAGCAGCCAGTGCTCTTAACTGCTGAGCCATTTCTACAACCCCTATTATTTCTAATACGCTTGTACTTTCTACAATCCTGAACATGGCTAAAGGCAGGTAACAACTATTTTTTTCTATAGTATTCAAACTGATTATGAACATACTGTTTTGAACAGACCTTTGAACTAGGAAGAAACAAGTGTTAACTATCCCATCCCAGGCCTTAGAAAAAAATGACACTTGATGCTTACTAGACAGAAACTAGAATGAAACCAACACTTACTTCTGTCTAGTGATTTTATAGTATTTAAAAGTTGCAAAGAATGCTAAATGCTTCATTAAGACTTTAAGTGTCCAAAATAGTAATGGTTGAAATGTTTCTTATGTAGCAGTGAGAACATTTTGACTGGTGTCTGGCCTAGCCACTGGCGTTCTCTGGCAATGGATCTCATCCTGGTTTTAGCACATACTCTTCCCACAATGCATGCGTTTTAAGTTTGCTGTAAGCGGACACCTGCTTCCACTCCAATGTGAACAGAGAGCGTTTAAGGCCTGACCTTGCCCTTCTGCACTCTCAGACATTTTGGCCTTTTTGTTCAGTTTCACATCTGGAACACGGTAAACTCGTGCACGAGCGTTCACGAACATGGAGGTGCTAGCATCCAGGAAAAGCCAACCTAATATGATGGTTTAAAAAAGGCTTCAATTAGTGGTAATTTTAAACATGGTCACATAACCCACACAGACCACTAGCTGCCATCTTGTTTCCCTAGCAACTATGTCTTAGTTTGTCTTATTACTGTGGCCTCTGCTTGATTAGACCAGTGGTTTTCAAAGCATGCGCTCTACCACGGTGCTATATTCCTGCTCCTGTATTTGTTAAAGAATGTCTGGAAGAAGCAGTAAAAATTATGAATTGCCGATCATTAGACCCTAGGGCTCAAGGGTCTTGAGTGGTTAGCATGACAGTCACCGTACATGTTTACATCTCTCAACAAATCTCTTAAGTCTTTGGTACTCTAGCAGATGAAACACATGCCTTGAGGTCTCTTTGAGAAAAACTAATTTTAAGTTCCTACCAAGTAAATTTCCAGAACACAACCTATTTCCAAGTTGGAGACTGTCTGTACTACAAAGTCTTTTCTGGAAATAAAACTGCCAGGAATGGATATGAATATTTATTCTACAGAACAGAAGCTAAGTAGGAGGGAACATTAGCTTTCAATAAAGCTCTACACCCTTGTGCAGGGAACATGAAATTCAATTTATAACATGCAGTTGAATATAGCACTCCTCCCAATAACACTTTATTCAAAACAGCTCCTAGAATAATATTAGTATTTTTATCTCACACCTGAATTCTGACCAAAGACCTTCTCTGTTGCTCTCAGAGATTCCAGAAGATTAAGAAATGTAACACAATCATACTGAGAGAGATACTGCAGTAGGGTTCTTAGTATCTTCAGATCCTGTACCAAGGATTTAGTCTTGGCTCCAAGCTGGTGCCATAAAGGGTCCAAGTAATGGCGGATTGTCTGAAAAAGAATACAATTTACTTTTGCTAAAATATATTCATTATAGCTTTTCTTAACACAGCCATACTTTCAATAAAGGCTGTTCATTGTATATGTAAAAACATATTTAAAACGCTGTATGTTTTTTATTTATATTTTATTACAATAAGATTCCCTAAATATTTCCTTCCAAGAAAATGGCTAGAAAGTTTCAGGTTGCCAAATCCTAATACTGTTTTAAAAGGATAATGTCATATTACTCTATTTTTTATAATGGGATGAGTTAATGCCCCTTAATTCTTAATAACATTATCAGATGGCTCAGTGGGTAAGAATGTCCACTGTGCAAGGTGGACCTGAGTTCAAATCCCCAGCACCCACATAAAATGATGGGCATGTGTCTACAACATCAGAGCTATGAAGGACAAAGAACAGAAAGATCTCTCGGACATTCCAGCTGTCAGCTTAGTTCTAGATCCAGTGAAGACCCTTTTCTCAAGGAAACGAGGCAAAGGAAGTGATAGAGAGGTCATTCCATGTCCTCCTCTGGCATCTGTACATTCAGGAGCATGTCTACCATCCAGCACACACACACACACGGGTGCATGCACATGTGTACAGACATACAAAAAACATGCATGTTACTATATACCATAGACAAGAAAGGACTATTCTATCAGAAAGCCAGCAACTTGTTCTTATGAACAGTGATCTCGTGTAGGTATCTAATCTGACAAAGCACACACTGGGCAGAAGTGGCACCTAGTGACCTTATAATTCATGCTCCAGACTGGGATGCATGTGACAGGGTAAGAGCAGGGGTAGAGCCCTTCTACACCCACAGACCACTTCTGTTAAAAGACAGACTGAACCTCAAGCGTTTGCTTTATCTTATGCAAGCTCTGTCTATATTTGGATGTGGCTAATGCAAGAATGCCCAAAACAATCCTTGACTCTCACCAGCCAGTAACATCAGACAGAAATCAGTGTTCAATAAAGCATTTTGCTGTTCTAGGACAACATCTATTCCATTCAAACAATATGAAGATTTGTCACCACCATGCACTAAGTTACACACATGTTAAGATAAAGGAAGACAGGACACAACACATGGAATCCATTCCACGCATGAGTATTTCATAGTAGTCAGGCCTTTCCTTCTGTTCCCAGTGACACCAAGACTGATTCAGAGTTTAAAAGGCAGTAACATGAGCTGAGTGTGGTGGCACCTGTCTTTAATTCTAACACTTGGGAGGCAGAGGCAGGCATATTTCTGTGTATCTCTATGAGTTCTAGGCCAGCCAGGGCTACACAGTGAGACTGTTTCAAAACAAAACCAAAAATACTCCCCCTTCCCCCAAAATGTACCCAACTTTCTATCTTAAAAAGATGGCAAATTTAGGGATGTATAATTACTAAGCATTCATGTGTAGACTCTGTGTCTACAGATACCCAGATATTGTCAATTTGGAACGAAGACATTGATTACACTTACAATAAGACATTTACTCACTATGTAACTGAAAAAGCTAGCCTCATGCTTACATGCCAAACACAGATGTCACTGCAAATTACTACTTCCAATAAGTAAAGCAGTCCCACTTTAAACCACCTTCAGTTTAATTTTTGCAACGGACACGGTGAATATTAAAATGCCTTGCACTCTTTAAAATGACAACCTAATCAGCTGTGCTTCAAAAGGAAGAAAAAAAGGAAGTGGACCTTGTCAAACGGCTTCCCAAGAGCATTTTCTAGTGACAAGTCTTCCACTTCTAGCGATGGGTTGTGGCTCTTCAGCTCCTTCAGACACGCATTTAAGATGTCTAGTATGGCTGTCTGGATGGAAAGCATGGCGGGTGTCATAGACACGTGAATCTCTACTACTTCAGGCTTGTGTTGTTCCAAGAACGAGTTGACTGCTACATGGAACCTAAGGAGACAGAGTTTCCAAATCAACAGCTACAAACACAATGCAAGCAAAATGGCAATGCCCAAGAACACACTGGGCCTTGCTGAGTAGGCTCATCACTCAAGCAAGGCAGGCTTAGAAAGCTAGTACAGGCCCAATCCAGGACCTACTTTTGTATAGCGTGAGGGAACATGGCCCTAACCACTGGGTTCCTATTACCTACAACAAAACAAAACAAAACAACCAAAAACCCAATCACCCTTATTTTGTGTGCACATGCTACAGTGCATGTGTGTGGTCGGAGGACCACCATGTGGGTCCTGGGGACTGAACTTGAGTCATCAAGGTTAGTAGTTAGCACTTTTACCCACTGAGCAATCTTGTCACCCTTACTCCAATACTTTTAAAAGTTACATGTATTTATTTACTTGTGGTGTGCCTGAGTGTTCAGAGCTCAGAAGACAGCCCATAGTCAGTTCTCTCCTTCCATGTGGGTCCTCAGGATTGAACTCAGCTTCTCAGGGTTTAGCAGCAAGCACCTTTACCCCTTGAGTGATCTTGTTGTCTCTGTTTCTGTGCTTCTAAGAGCAAGGTTGAGCTAAGTGAGCCTCCACTACCAAAACACTTACTAGCTGGTCATTCATAGGCATGTTTTGCTTCTGAAATAAGGAACAATTAAATAAAGAATAACTATACAGCTAGTATTCTGCATAAAATTGATAGGCACATGCATAAATATATTTTTTAAAAAGGTCCTTATGGACAGAATGGCAGATTTTACATGTATTCTATCAACTGCATGAAAGTGCAGCTAAGTTAAGACTAGGACTCTTCTGTTCACAAAGCGGCCCCACAAGGTCATTACCTTGGCCACAGGTAGAGCTTCCTCACAAAAAGGTTCCTCATTACTCTTTCCACATGACAAAAGCCAGTGTCAAAGGCAACAGGGTTGTCTGTGAAAGCTTTGATGAAGCCGCGCTTGTTTTTCTGGCGGAAGAGACGCAGGATGAAGGCTTCTTGGCAGGACTCGATGATCCTGTGTGCTCTGTACACCAGGATGCCTGTGGGGAGTTGTACTAGTCAGGTTCTCTAGAGGACAGGACTCTAAGATGGATCTCCACGTAAAGAAAGGGTTTACTAGAGTGCAATCATAACCCAAGGAAGACAGGGGCTGGGGTGCACACAGGGGATCCCTATGCTCATTCTGGCTTGGCCCCTTTCTTGGAACATCTGCTCGAAAACTGGCAGGCCCTGCTGTAGGCTGGGTGCAGATGTAAATCCCTGTTCTTTTGTGGAACTTAAAATAACGCAATCAAAGTATTTAGTTTTACAAGTGCTAACCAAAACCAAAACCAAAACAAACAAAAACAAATCAGAGGGAGTGTGTCCAAGGGTGGGGTGTCCTAGTTAGGGTTACTATTGCTGTGATAAAACACAATGACCAAAAGTAAGTCCACATCACTGTTCATCATTGAAGGAAGTCAGGGTTGGAACTCACACAGGACGGGATCCTGGAGGCAGAAGCTGATGCAGAGGCCATGGAGGGGTGCAGCTCACTGCCTTGTTCTTCCTAAGTTTCTCAGAACCCAGGACTACCAGCCCAGAATGGGTACCACCCACAGTCTTCCTCCATGGATCACTAAGAAAATGACCTCCAGGCTTGTCTACAGCCTGACCTTCCTGAGGAATGTTCTTCATTGAGGCTCTTGTCTCCAATGACTCTAGCTTGTCAGCTTCAGTGATGAGAGTGCAAACAGAAAGTGAAGGTGAGGAGTGAGTCCCCTGAGCCATTTGGACCACGAGCGTCTGGACCACAAAGGGGCCAGGTCGAGCAAAAGATAAGGAGCAGAGGTCTTAAAGGCGCAGCATGGACACATGGACTACACAAAACAGCTCAACTTTACAAGTCTGGGCAGCTTCTGCATCCTGCTAGATAAAGTCAGCATCAAGGATGCAGTCAATAAGGAGGTAACACTATTTGAAACAAAAGCCTTTAATGAGCAAGCTTAATACAACATTTTGTTTTGTTTGTAGAGGCAGGCACTTGATATTTAACTTAGTCTGGCCAAACTTATGATCCTCCTGCTTCAGCCTCCCGAGTATTGGGATTACAGGCCTGCACCACCATGCCTGGCAACACATGACTTTGGTGATCTGTTTGGTACGATGCCCCTGAATCTTAGAAACAAGAACAAGGGATAAAGCATTTGCCATGTGCTGCTAGAACCCACATGACAGCTATGCAGCACCGGGAAGGAAGGAAGAGGCATAGGATCCCCTGAGCAAGTTGCTAGCTGAATTAACAAGGATTGGCAAGCTGCAGCTTTAGCAAGAGACACTGTCTCAATAGAGAGAGAAGAAGACATCTGATGTCAACTTTGGGCCTCCAAACACGTGCACACATGTGCACACTTACACACATCTGAGCACACACACATACATGCACATAAAAGATAATTATAAATGTTTCTTAGTTTTAAATATAAGATACTAAAACGGAGACCTTTAATGCACTACCGTTCATATTACATTCGTGTGTGTGTGTGTGTGCGTGTGTGTGTGTGTGTGTGTGTGTGTGTGTGTCACAGGTGAAGGTTAGAGGACAGCTTCTAGGATTGGTTCTCTCCTACTACGTGGATTCTGGCGATAGAACTCAGGTCAGGCTTGGAGGCAGAGTGCCTTTACCCACTGCCTGCTGGTACCATTTTGATAATGTGTATTTAGTGACAAAATAATAGAGAAGCAGGAGATCTAACAGAGGCCAGGTGTCATTTCTGGGTCAAACTCTCCATTGTATGATGATGCTCAGTCTTTTAGACGTAGATCAAGTACACACATGCACTTGGTTTTGGATCTGTTCTCCTCACTCATTGGGTCCTGAAAAGAATATAGTGATCCATGTGCCCTCCTTGTCATTCAATAACTCACTACATATTCTATTTATTTTGAAATTCTGGACTAAGGTGGCTGACACTAAAACGTAACTCTCCCTAATCAACAAGCAAGTACGTGAAAATTCATTTACAAGTTTACAGACCTTTAAAGACCTTTCCATCATACTGGAGCACGAGGCGTACTCACTGCTCAGAAAATATTCTAAACCTAGCAGGTGGTTTTCCCAAGGATCCCACAGGCCACAGTGGTTAGCCTGTGTCGAAGCATTATTACACAGGGGGCTGGGAGGCAGCCCCAGAGCATTTGATGCATGAGAACAGGGACCTGGTTTCAACTCCTCAGCACCCACATACAAAGCTGGCATGGCCACCTGTGCATACTGGTTGCTCCAGGGCTGTAGGGACAGAGACAGGAGGATCACTGTGGCTTGCTGACTGCCAACCTGCCTCCAAGTTCAGTGAGTGACCCTGTCCCAGGGATGTAAGATACAGAGTGATAGAGTAGGATGCTCAATATCCTCCTCTGGCCCATGTAAGTGAGCAGGTGCACAGAACCACACACACATGCATATGTATACCACACACATGCATATACACATCACACACAATAGAAATTGAACATAGAATTGAAAACAATAAAACAGGACTTTCAAACTATAGATGAGCCTTAAATTAGGACAATGTGTTCCAAGAGGCTGTCATTATTTTGGAATCCAAAAGAAAGGAGAAAGCTAATAGGCACAGGCTTTGTGAATGGGATTCAAGTAAGCTAAGGCTGGGTTATCGTGGGTCATCTGATGTTATGATTTGTATATGAAATGTCCCCAGAGGTTCACTGTGCATCAAGGTTTGCTCCTACACCTATGCTCAGGGGGCTCTATGTATGTGTTTTCATGTAGGGATTATTTTAAGATTTAAAGGGGGGGGCAGCCTGAGGGTTGACTGGGGCCTACCACGTGCTTCCTGATGAGTGAAGCCCCTTGGGGCCTTGTAAACCAGCATCATCAGTATAGAGGGTGTGTGGAGGGGGCTTCAGTGCTATGGGAGGCTCTAGTGAGACAGGATAGCATGGACCAGAATGGACTTGACTTTGGATTTAGTCAAGACCCCCACCTGAGCTGGGAGAGGATGTTGAGTCAGAGACTGTGCAGGCCTAGTCAGGGTGACTGATGGTGCAATACTGACATCTAGTGGTAGTTTCCAGGCAATGTTCTCATGTTAGCAACTTGAAAATCCAAGGTTACACAACATGGAGCAGTAAGATTCGGATGAACGGTTATCTCCAGCTATACAAGAGCAACTATTGGTACAATTTTTAGGTTTTTCTGTGTACAAGCTATCATCCTAAGAGGCACTGACATACATACTTATGTGTGTGTGTATACTCATCTGTGTTCCATATGCATTCAGTGTTCTTGGAGACCAGAAGAGGGTACCAGATTGCCTGGAACTAGAGCAATAGATGGTGAGAGCCACCATGTGTTTGCTGGGAATTGAACCTGGATCCTCTGCAAGAGCAGCCAGTGCTCTTAACCACTGAGCTATCTCTCCAGTTCTGGAGGCACTATTTTCTTGATTTAAGAAATGAAAAAAATAGATTAAAGATGGATATCAACAACATCAGAAACAACAGAGAGCTTACAAATTCATAGAAACTATACATCTGTCATGTAGCAGCAAGGGCAGGGGAGAAATGCGTCCCCCTCCAACACCTAAGGTGGGTGGGAGAGCTGGCCCTGAGGTCATCAGAGCAGGAGAGCTGTCCCAGGCCATCATCAGCTGCAGCACTCAGGAGAGTGGCCTGTACACCACTTCTGGGCAACACAGTAGAACTGGTCCTGAAGGTACAGGTGTGGGAGGGAGAAATGACTGGGGCCATAAAAGCAGGAGAACTCTCCCTGGGTGAGGACAAGGGAGAGCTAGTGGGCTGACCAACCCTGCAACTACCCAGGCCCAGAACCAGGGTTATGAGGTGGCCCATCCCAACATCCACCCCAACTGTGATCTGCTGGAGTATGTGAAGAACCTGGTCTGCAGGATCTCCACAACACAGAGCAATGACAGGATAACCAAGAGGAGCTCCAGTGGGGGCCCAGCATCCACAGCGTAGCAGAAACCAAAGGCCTCGATACAGACCAATGACTCTTCGCAATGAACACTTACAAGTAAAGACATATGGATACAGGGTTTACTGTATGATTCACTGTGCCACACTACAGTGTTTATGACAAGTTTGATTTTTCATTTTCATTTTTTTTCCTCTTAAATTTTATTTTAATTTGAGGGGTAGGTTGCAAGGGCAGAGGGCAGATATGAAAGGTTGGGAAATGAATGGGATGGAGAGGCATGATGTCAAAGACTAAATATAAAATATTTTGGTTTAACTCTAACCAAGCAAGTAAAGACCTATATGACAAGAACTCAAGTCTTTGAAGAAAGAAATTGAAGAAGATATCAAAAAATGGAAGATCTCTCATGCTCATGGATTTGTAGGATTAACAGAGTAAAAATGGCAATTTTACCAAAAGCAATCTACAGATTCAATGCAATCCCCATCAAAATTCCAACGCAATTCTTTACAGATCTTGAAAAAAATATTCAATTAAATATGGAAAAACAAAAAATCCAGGATAGCTAAAACAATCCTGTATAGTAAAAGAACTTCTGGAGTTATCACCATCCCTGATTCCAAACCGTACTGCAGAGCTATACTAACAAGAACAGTGCGGTATTGGCATAAAAATAGACCGTTGGATCAATGGAATCAAATCAAAGACCCTGACATAAATCCACACACCTACAGACAACTAATTTTTAACAAAGAAGCCAAAATTATACAATGGGAAAAAGACACCATCATCAACAAATGGTGCTGGTCTAACTGGCTGCATGTAGAAGAATACAAATCAATCCATTATCTATCACTCTGCACAAAACTCAAGTTCAAGTGGATCAAAGACCTCAACATAAATCTATTCACACTGAACCTGATAGAACAGAAATTGGGAAATAATTTTAAGTGCACTGGCACAGAAGACAACTTCCTGAACAGAATACCAATAGCACAGGCACTGAGACCAACAACCTCACAAAACAAAAGACACCATCACAGGACAAGACAGCAGCCTATGGAATGGGAAAAGATCGTCACCAACCCCACATTTCAT